AAAAAAAAAAGTGGTGAGTAGCTTTTCTCTTGTTGCTCTCAAGATTTTCTCTTTGGCTTTAATTTTCAAGTTTGATTAGGATTTGTCTAGGTGTGGTTTCTTTGAGAATATTTTACTTGGAGGCTTATTTTGTTGAGCTTCTTGGATGTGTAGATTAATGCTTTTCATCAAATTTAGGAAGTTTGGGGTATCATTTCTTTAAATATTTTTTCTGCCCCTTTCTGAATTCTTTTGTGACTCCCATTATATGTATGTTGCTATGTTTGTTTGTGTCCCACAGGTCTCTGAGGCTCTGTTTTTTTTTTTTCTCTTTATTCTTTTAAATTTTTATTTCTTAGCCTGAGTTATCTCAATTGACCTATCTTCCAGTTCGAGTCTGCTCAAATCTGAGCAGTGGATTTTTCGTTTCAGTTATCATACTTTTCAACCCCAGAATTTCTATTTGCTTTCTTTTTTCTAATTTCTATTCTTTATTGATATTCCCTATTTGAGGGGACACGTTCTAATATGTTATTTCTTTTGACATAGTTTCCTTCAGCTATTTGAACATATTTAGTATAGCTGATTTACACCTGTCTGGTAAGTTCAATGTCTGGATTTGTTCAGAAAGACTTCCTATTGATTTTTAATCTGTATATGGTTCATACTTATTTGCTGCTCATGGTTTTCATGTTTCATGTTTTTTTGTTGAAAATTGAACATTTTAAGTAATATAATGTGGCATCTCTGACCATCAAATTCTCTCTCCTCCCCAGGATTTCTTTTTGTTGCTTTTCATTAGAAGTTTTTCTTTTAGGGGGCACCTGGGCATGAGTTTGAGCCTCACGTTGGGCTCTGTGCTGACAGTTCAGAGCCTGGAGGCTGCTTTGGGTTCTGTGTCTCCCTCTCTCTCTGTCCCTTCCATGCTCATGCTCTTTTTCCCTCTCTCTCTCTCTCAAAAATAAATAAAAATTTAAAAAGAAAGTTTTTCTTTTAGGCTTTTTGGTTAGTCTGTTGTTTTCCCTAACTTATACATCACCTCAGATAGCTGCAACATTAAAATACTTTCCTGTAAATGTTCTCAACAAATGTTTCTCCCACACCCACCACTGTTTACCTAGATTTGAGCACTGGGTAAGCTCTGGGTTAAGTCAGATAAAAACAAGCCCTTCAGGTGGGACCTTCCAGAGACCATCAGACAGGTGAAATAATAACTTTTTGGGAATAAGGCTTTGAAAGAGGTCATTCTCTTTTATGCTCCCTCAGTACTAGAAATGTGGACTGTTATTTTTTAAAGCTGCTACTGAGCCCAAAGCAGGAGGAAGTTAAAATATTACAAAGCTCTCTTTAAAAACAACAAGATTTGGCTTTTTTTTTTCTTGAATAAAATCTCCCTGGATTGATTTAAATCTTTAGTTAATTTTCAGAGTTGTGAAAAACTTGATTCTGATAATTTTTGTCAGTTATCTCATTGTTTTATAGAGGAGAAAGTTTTTGGAAGTTCTTACTTTGTTATATCACTGACATCCTTAATGAAGATCTGTTTTTATTTTGGGGTATATGGTCTTGGCTGGCAAAATTCATAGATTGTTTTATTTTAAACTTGATACTGCTGTGAATGAGATACAGTCAAAAGAGATAAGACTGAAATCAAGACTTTAATGACAATTTTTGTTATTCTTTGTGGCACTCCCCGCCTCCCCAAATAATTAATTTTCATGAGTGAGTTGCATTTGACATGGAGTAAAATCTGGCAAGACAAATGTTTGTTAACTCAGTGTTAATTTCTTCACTGGTGAGGTCAGATAGAAATGGAGAAGCCCAAGTGTAGTGTTTGAGGACTTCAGCTCTGGCCAGAGTTATCCTAAAGATTTACCCTCATTATAAAGGCCATAGAGCCTGAGCTCTTGGGAACTACCACGGACACATTTTAGAAAAGAACAGAATTTTAAGTTTGACCTCATTGTGATGCTGGTCTATTCTGGCCTATGTAACATACCCTGTTCACCGTCAGCCATGTCTCTTTCTGAGATTAAAGAGTAATCACACAGCTTTTGAAGGGTAGAAAGTTCTCTACTACAGGGTGAATTTTAGGCTGGTGGTATCAGACTTAATATCTCCCGGAAAAGTAACTGTGGTCTTTTTGGTTTTGAAGAAACAGAGCTGTTGATGTAGGTCCCATTTCATTGTTCATATTATTGGGAAATTAGTTTTTTTGACAGATATTCATTCAATGTTATTTGCTTTATTTTCCTTAGTGAACCTGAGGCAACATGTTATGTTGCAACATCTAATCTGGATGGGGAGACAAACCTAAAAATACGGCAGGTAAAGACACCTTTTTAAATCCTGATTTTATGCTTAAGCTCACAATGTCAAGTTTTGTCAGGTGCCAATTACTTATTTTTCATGAAGAAAAGTATCTCACTACTCTGGTGTAGATATAATGAGTCCTCAGCAGTTATTTACAGGGTACTTTAAAAAAAACAAGTAGGAACTAGGTAAGAAAAAAGTGTCCTATAAAATTCAGGTCATAAAGGATAACATACCTTTGAGCATGCTGTTTTGAGGATATTTTTGTTAGTGCTTTGGTAATATAACTATCTTCATGATAAATATCATAATTATTAATCTAAACGAGCTCTGAGTGATCTTATATAACACTGCTTTTTAAACTATCATTTGAATTTCAGAGTAACTTGTGATTATGAATGGAAGGAGATAGTTTTCCAATTAACTTCCTATTAATGGAAAAAAGACATTGATCTTTAAGATCATTGAGTCTTGGGTGCCTGAGTGGCTCAGTCAGTTGAGTGTCCAACTCTTGGTTTTGGCCCAGGTCATGATCCCAGGGTTGTAGGATTGAGCCCCGTGTCGGGATCTGTGAGGAGTGTGGAGCCTGCTTAAGATTCTGTATCCCACTCCCCTGTTCATGTGCTCTCTCTCTTCCTCTCAAAAAATAAAAAATAAAAATAAATAAAATAATTGAGTCTTTGCTTTATCACTTGGCTTCAGAAAGGAAGCCCCTGATTTTACATTTGAATATTTACATGTCTGCTAATCTTTTTTGCAAACTTTAGTGTGATTGAAAGTGAAAAATATGTATTTAGGATTTATTAAAGTAATACATCATCTTTGTAAAAATAATACAAACAGTACAGAAACCTAGGCAGTCTGTTAAACCTTCTCTATCTTCTAAATCCCATCTTTATCCCCAGTACTAATTGTTGTGATAGTTTGGTGGTACCTTCTTGAATTTTAAAAATGCAGTTATAGACTTCTGTTTCAGGAGAAATGAAGTAGACATGTTTTCTTCTATTTTCCTGCTAAGTACAACTAAAAAGTTTGGACATTATGTAGAAAACAATTATAAGGAGACACTGAAAGTGTCATTGAAAAACATTGAAAGAGTGACAGAAGAAGGTAGATTGTGGGACCTTAGAACCCATGGAACAACATGGTGGTGAGTTCCCTGGGTTTTCCTTTTGCCTTGTATATACCAGGTTTGGGACTGAAGAAACCAAAAACCCAGAAAAACCAATGGACACAGACCCAAAAAAAGGATGGTCCAACAAAAGCCTCCTTTCTCTAGTCAAAGGACTGGGAAAAGGGCAGAGAGTAAGACAGAAACTTTGACAATGGCCACTCTACCCCAGCCAGACACGGAGTGAAAATATGGTCCCATTCCCACCTCTGCCAGCAAAGGTTGAATGTAGAGCCTTGACTTCCACCGTTACCATGCTGAAATGAGGCACCCAACTCCACCACAAAGATGATGTCAGAGAAACCAAGTAGGAAGCTAAGACTTTGATTTTGTAATAAGGGTGGCAGTAAGGCCCTCTCCTCTTTCCACAGTGTCAGTGGAGACGACATGGACATCAGTAATAAGGTGTTCCAATCTCTTCAATGATGGAGGCCCACAGGGCAGCCAGAACTTCCACTCCTGTCCAGCTGTAACAAGGGGCCTCTCCATTTGGCTGTCAGCAGAGGCCAAGTGCGCAACTTGTCCTTCTACCCCCATCTTGCAGTAATGAGGCAACACCTTTCTCTGTCAGAGTGGTGTCAAAGGAAGCCACCTAACACAGAAAGCTTAAATGATATCCAGATCTTATAATACCCCAAATGTCCAGATTCCAATAAAAAGTCACTTATTATGCCAAAAACCAGGAGGATCTCAAACTCATTGAAAAGACGACAGCTAATGCCAACACCAAGATAACGAGATGTTAGAATTATCTGGAAGCGATTTTAAAGGATCTGTTGGGAAAAAAAAAAACTCCAATGAGCAACTACAAACATTCTTGAAACAAATAGGAACATATAAAAAGTCTCAGCGAAGAAACAAAATCTCAGCAAAGAAATAGATGACCCAGTGGAAATTTTAGAACTGAAAAGTACTTAAGGCATTAAGAACTCTCAAGTGATGAACTCAACAGCAGAATAGAAGGGACAGAGGAAAGAATCCATGAACTGAAAGATAAAGCAATAGAAATTGCCCAGCTTGAATAACAGAGATAATAGGCTGAGAAAAAAAAATGAACAGAGCCTCAGAGACCTGTGGGAATATAACCGAAGAGCTAACATTCATGACATGAGCTACTGGAAGGGGAAAAGAGGGTGGAGCTGAAAAACCATCCGAAGAAACAGTGGCTAAAACTTCACAAATTTGCCAAAAAAACGTAAACTATAAATTTAAGAAGCTGAGTGAACCAAAAAGGATAAACCCAAAGAAATCCATACAAAGACACATTATAATCAAACTTCTGAAAACAAAAAATATTTTAAAGTAGTTGAGAGAAAAAAGATACTCCCTATAGGGGAAAGACCATTTGTATAAAAGCAGATCTCTTATTAAGACCCATGGAGGTCAGGGGAGCATGGGTGGCTCAGTCGGTTAGGCATCCGACTTTGGCTCAGGTCATGATCTCACGGTCCATGAGTTTGAGTCCCGCGTCGGGCTCTATGCTGACAGCTCAGAGCCTGGAGCCTGCTTCCAATTCTGTGTCTCCCTCTCTCTTTCTGCCCCTCCCCCACTCATGCTCTGTCTCTCTCTCTCTTTCTCTAAAATAAACATTAAAAAAATTTAAAAAAGACCCATGGAGGTCAGAAGGAGGTGGCATAACATTTAAAAAATGCTGATAGGGAAGAACTGTCAGTCCAGAATCATGTATGGAGCAAAAATATTTTTCAAGAATGAAGAGAGAATTAAAACATTCCCAATTGAAGGAAAAAAAGAACAGAGTTTGTTGCCACAAGACGTACTGTAAAGAATGGCTAAAGGAAGGAAGGAAACCATAAAAAAGGAACATAAGAAACAAGGAATAAAGAACATGATAAGCAAAAATAAGGCCAAATACAATACGCTTCTTTTCTCTTCAGCTTTCTAAATTATGTTTGATGGTTGAAACAAAAATTATAAAGTTATCTGATGTGGTTGTAAATGTATGAAAGAAAATATATAAGGTATGTAACAGAGGAGGGTAAAGAGACATAAAAGGAAGCAAGGCTTCTATATTTTGTTTAAACTTGTAAGATGACACAAACTGTGAGAAGTTATACATAAATAATGTAATGCCTGGAATAACCACTACAATAGTTATACACTGAGGAATATACTAAAAAACAATCAAATCAAAATGAAATTCTAAAAAAATGTTCAAGTAACCCAAAGGAAAGCAGGAGAAAGAAAAAACAATAAAGCAAAATCAGAAAAAAAACAAACAAAATCAATAATTATATTAAATGCCCTGAAATATTGGATTAGAATATTATCTAATGGATTAAAAACATGATCCATGCATATGCTGGATGATACAAGTTTTCTATACAAAACTCACTTTAATTATAATGGAATAGGCAGGTTAAAAGTAAAAGATAGAAAAAGATATGTCATGTAAAGATAAAATAAGTCAGGAGTGGCTTTATTAATAGCATATCAAGTAGACATCAGAGCAAATGAAACTGCCAGAGATAGAAGGGAACATTTTTTATTATGTAATGACAAGAGAGTCGATCCGCCAATAAGACATAGCAGTGTTAATGTGTATGCATCAAAATACAGAGCTGCAAATATGTGAAGCTAAAATTGCTAGAACTTAAAGGATAAATATGCATGTCCACATTTTTAGTAGGAGACTTCAGCAACCCTGTCTCATTAATTGACAGAACAACCAGACAGAGAATTCTCAAAGATACAGAACTAAATGCCATCAACCAACGGGATCTATTTGATATTTATACAACATTCAACAATACCCAACAAAAGAAAGACATACTCTTTTTGGTGCTCACAGAACGTACACCAAGATACAGAATACCTGTGTCATCAAACAAGCCTCATAAAAATGAAAAAAATTGAAGCCACGGAGAACGTGTTCTCCACCCATGGGAGAATAAAGCTAGAAATTGTGGCAAACATAACAGAAAAACCTACAAACACTTAAAAAGATAAATTGAATAGCCTGATAACTTCTAAGGAAATTGAATTCATAATTTAAAAATGCCCCCAAAAGAAATCTCAAGGCCCTGGTGGTTTCAGTGGACTATCCTAACAAACATGCAATGAAAAATGAACATCAGTTATATATAGTCTCCTCCAGAAAACAGAAAAGGAGGAAACACTTCCCAATTCATTTTGTGAAGCTGTTATTATTACCCTGATACCCAAACCAGACAAAGACAGTGGAAAAAAAAAATGTTTCAATATCCCTCAAGGGTACAGACACCAAAATTCTTTAAAAGTACTAGTAAATAGGGGCGCCTGGGTGGCGCAGTCGGTTAAGCGTCCGACTTCAGCCAGGTCACGATCTCGCGGTCCGTGAGTTCGAGCCCCGCGTCAGGCTCTGGGCTGATGGCTCGGAGCCTGGAGCCTGTTTCCGATTCTGTGTCTCCCTCTCTCTCTGCCCCTCCCCCATTCATGCTCTGTCTCTCTCTGTCCCAAAAATAAATAAACGTTGAAAAAAAAAATTAAAAAAAAAAAAGTACTAGTAAATAGAATTCAGAAATATAGGAAAAGAAATATAAAGGTTTATTCCATATATTCAAGGTGCATTTAATAATTGGAAATCCATCCATGTAATCCACCATTTTAGGCTAAAGAAGAAAAATCACATGGTAATATCAATAAATGCAGGAAAAGCATCTGACAAAATTGAATGTCAATGAGAAAAATTAGAGAACTGTAGGAATAGAGGGGAACATTCTCAACTTGGTACAGAACATCTACAAAAACTTAGAGCTACTATTAAAATATATGTAATGAAATGTAAGTGGTAAAAGACTAAATGCATTCCCCCCACCCCCCACCCTAGATGGGAACAAGGCAAGGATATCTGCTGACATTACTCTTACTCACATAGCACTGGAAGCAGTAGAAAGTGCAGTAAAGAGGCATACATATTGGAAGGGAAGTAATAGACTGTATTTGATTTTGACATAGTTGTCTACATAAAAAAGTTGTCTACCTAGATTTCCAAGGAATCTAAAATAAAATGAAATAATGTGTTTTTGGCAAGGATGCAGGATACCAGATAAACACAAAACACTTTCATTTCTGTATAGTGGCAATAAACCTGTGGACCCTGAAATTTAAAAATGCAATACCATTTATAAGCACTCAAAATGTGAATTAGGTATAAATCTAACAATATAGACAGGATCTGTATGCTGAAAATTTCATTACAATGTTGATGAAAGAAATTAAAGAAGATCTAGATAAATGGAGAGATAAACAGTGTTCATGGATTGGACAGCTCAACACAGTAAGGGATACTAATTCTCCCCAAATTGACATACCAGTTTAATGGAACTCGTAGGAAAATCCCAGCAAGATCTTTTGTAGATATGGATGAGGTTATCCTGAAATATTTACAGAAAGGCAAATGAACTATAATAACTAAAACAATTTCGAGAAAGCAGCATAAAATGGAAGGAATAAGATTTCAAGACATTCTACGACAGTAATCAAGAGTGTGTGGTTTTGGTAAAGGGATAGACACATAGCTCAGTGCAACAGAATAGAAAACCCAGAAATAGATCCATACAAATATGCCCAAACGATTTTGTCAAAGGTGCAAAAGCAATTCTTTGGAGAAAAGGTAACATTTTCAACAAATGGTTCTGGAGCACTTGTACATTCACAGGCAAAACAAAACAAAACAATAACCTCAAATAAACCCTTGACCTAAATCACACTTTATACAAAAATTAATAATTTATCATGACTTAAATGTAAAATGTAAAACGATACAACTTTTAGGGGAAAGAATTGGAAAAAAAAATCTTTAGGATCTGTAGTAGGCCAAGATTTCTCAGAATCAATGCAAAAAATGTGATCCATAAAAGGAAAAATTGATAAATTGGACCTCATCAAAATGAACAGCTTTTGCTTTTGAAGATGAAGAGACAAGCTGAAAACTAGGAGAAAATATTTGCAAACCACATGTCTGACAAAGGACTGGAATCTGGAATATATAAAGTACTCTCAAAACTCTACATAAAAAAACAAAATAAACACACAAAAACAAGCAAACAAAACCTCCAAACCAATTCACTTAGAAAATGGGCAAAAGAGACAGAGACATTTCATAGAACAGGATATAAAAATGGAAAATAAAGCACATGAAGACATTTTCTACATCATTAACCATTAGGGAAATGCAAATTAAAATCAGAGTCGAAGTATCACCACACACCTGTCAGAATGGTCAAAATTTAAAATAGTTCCAACACCAAACGCAGGTGAGGATGTGGAGAATCTGGATTATTCATACATTGCAGGTGGGAATATAAAATGGCATAGCCACTTGGGAAAACATTTTGGTAGTTTTGTATAAAATTGAACACACAACTATTATATGACCCAGTAATTGCACTATTCCAGAGAGGTAGAAACCTATGTTCACACAAAAACCTTTATAGAGTTGCCTATAGAGGCTTTACTAGACAGTTGCCCTCTATGGGTAAGGGCTTAGTTATGATATACCTACAGTTATTTTTGTTTATTGATCTTAAATCCAAACACCTTACTAAGTATTCCTACGCATTTCTACAATTTTTAGGTCAAGCAGATAGGATTTTGTGGGTGATAAATTCTTTCTTTAGAAATTAGGTTATTTTTGTTGTTTACTTTCCAATAATCATACCTAATTTCTTACCGTCCCACCCCCCATCTTATGGCAATACCCAGAAACTCTGCTAGAACCCAGTCTCTTCTTGTTCCTGACTAACATGGAAATGCTTTAACATTTTATAGTTAAGTGTGGGTAGTTGCATTTCATTCTGGTAAATAACCACCCACCTTGCAAAGTTTTGCTAAGAATTTTATTTATCTAGAATGCATATTAAACTTTTTACTAATTTTCTCAGCCTCAATTGATACAATTTTTTTCTTTTTAATGTCTTTTAATGTTTGTTTATTTTTGAGAGAAAGAGACTGAGTATGAATGGGGGAAGGGCAGAGAGAGGGGGAGACACAGAATCCGAAGCAGGCTCCAGGCTCTGAGCTGTCAGCACAGAGCCTGATGCGGGGCTTGAACCCACGAACCGTGAGATCATGACATGAGCCGAAGTCAGACACTTAACCGACTGAGCCATCCAGGCACCCCTACTTTTTCTTTTTAAATTCATTAATCTATCATTCTTGAGCATCTGCTTTTGAGCTTATTGGTAATACATATTTTCTTTTTCTGAGAAATATTTGTTCATGTTGTTTATTCATCTTTCTATTGGGATATTTGTACTTTTTATTGGTTTATAGGACTTCTTTATGTATTTAAACTTTTTAAAATGTTTTATTTATTTTTGAGAGAGAGCATGAGCAGGGGAGGAGCAGAGAGAGGGAGAGAGAAGGTCTGAAGCAGCCTCTGCACTGACAGCGAGTCCGATGTGGGGCTTGAACTCAGGAACTGTGAGATCATGACCTGAGCTGAAGTTGGATGCTCCACTGACTGAGCCACTTGGGTTCCCTCATATTTTTTTTTTTTTTAAACGTTTATTTATTTTTGGGACAGAGAGAGACAGAGCATGAACGGGGGAGGGGCAGAGAGAGAGGGAGACACAGAATCGGAAACAGTCTCCAGGCTCTGAGCCATCAGCCCAGAGCCTGACGCGGGGCTCGAACTCACGGACCGCGAGATCGTGACCTGGCTGAAGTCGGACGCTTAACCGACTGCGCCACCCAGGCGCCCCCTCCCTCATATTTTTTATACCAATTCTTTGTCAGTTATACATGTCATCAAAGCCTTCTCCCAGTTGGTAACTTGTTCTCATATTTTTGTTAAGGCATCTTTTTTTTTTAACAGAAGTGCATCCCAAACTGTTTCGATGTAGGTTTCTGAGCGTCAAAACTTCTAAGACATTTGCGTGCCTGAGAATATTTGCGTTAAACTTTCACATTTGTTTGATATTTGGAAAGATATAACATTCTGAATTTAAAGGTCTTTTATTTAGATAATTAAAAATAAAAATTCGCTGTCTTCCTGTGTCTCGTATTGCTGTTAAAAAAAGACAGATGGCAATTTGATTCTTGTTCTCCTGAAGATGATCTTCTTTTCCTGTCTGTAAAGTTGAGGTCTGCTTATTGCAATGAGACATTTTCTAGATCGGTGTTTCTCCGGGCATGCTCTCTAGACCAGCATCATCAGCATCCTTTGGGAAATGCAAATCCTAGCACTCCACTTCAGACCTACTGAATAAAAACAAACAAACAAACAAACAAACAAACAAAAACCCCTGGGGGTGAATCTCAGCAATCTGTGTTTCAACAAGACTTGCGGGTGCATCTGATGTATGTAAAAGTTTGGAGCCATTATTCTAGATCCTTGCTACTCTAAGTGTGGTCCAGATATCAGCCTCATCAGCTACAGCTATAAATGTATCAAACATGCCATGATGTTTGGTTAAAGTCACTACACTTTCAAAAATGTTATTTTCATGTAGAGATGATGAAAATTTGACTTTCCTACTACCTCTTTGAACCTTATTAAAAATATTTGCAAAATACTCGTATGGCAAAATTTTCTAACAAACTTTATGTTAAAGTTTGAGGTACCTTATTTGTTGTCTGGTAAGTGCAATACATTTTGGACCCTCATTTTCATAATTTTATTAACTACTAGGACACTGAACTTTGCCATTAAAGTTTTATATTAATTTTACTTTGACTTTATTTTACAGGCTTTGTTAGAAACAGCTGAAATGCAAACAGAACAATTGTCAAGCCTCTCTGGAAAAATAGAATGTGAAGGACCTAATCGTCATTTCAATACCTTCATTGGAACCTTGTATCTAAATGGTAAAAGGTATCGTTTTTCTCTTATTGAACATTTTTTTTAAATGGAACATAAAATATGGCCATTTTTGTTCTCTCAGTTTAATAGTTTTTTCATTTTTTTACTTGATTTTGAAATACTGGAGGCATCAATATACTGTTAAAAAGGTTCTTAAATATGGGAGGAAAATGTATGGCGTTTAAAAAAATTTTTTTAACGTTTATTTATTTGTGACACAGAGACAGACAGAGCATGAGTGGGAGAGGGACAGAGAGAGAGAGAGAGACAGAATCCAAAGCAGGCTCCAGGCTCTGAGCCATCAGCACAGAGCCTGACGCAGGGCTTGAACTCACAAACCGTGAGATCATGACCTGAGCCGAAGTCGGTTGCTCAACCGACTGAGCCACCCAGGCACCCCTATATGGCATTTTTAAATTGGTATACCTGTAAATGGGCTAGAGAAGTCAGGTCTAAGTTCCCTTTGCGTAGAAGTACTTGGCACATCCCTTGGGCTAAGTTAGCGGGAAGAACAAAGTTTCGAAAGTCATCCAAGAAGAGAAGCCACTAGGAATTCAGTTTGATAATGATGAAGGATTTTCCCTAATTTCTGCTCCATTTCTGCTTAGCTCCCACTTAAGACTTTTATGGAAGCATTGTTTTTCATGTTTATTTATTTTTTTATTTATTTATTTTTTTTTTCAACGTTTATTTATTTTTTGGGACAGAGAGAGACAGAGCATGAATGGGGGAGGGGCAGAGAGAGAGGGAGACACAGAATCGGAAACAGGCTCCAGGCTCTGAGCCATCAGCCCAGAGCCTGACGCGGGGCTCGAACTCACGGACCGCGAGATCGTGACCTGGCTGAAGTCGGACGCTTAACCGACTGCGCCACCCAGGCGCCCCTCATGTTTATTTATTTTTGAGAGAGAGAGAGAGAGAGAGAGAGAATGAACAAACACAAGTCGGGGAGGGACAGAGAGAGGGAGACACAGAATCCGAAGCAGGCTCCAGGCTCTGAGCTGTCAGCACAGAATCCAACGCGGGGCTCAAACTCAGGAACCGTGAGATCACGTCCTGAGCCTAAGCCTGATGCTCAACTGACTGAGTCACCCAGGCGCCCGGGAAGCATTTTTTTATATAGTGAGTGAGTCAGCCCAGTGCCAGAGGGGAGGAGGACAGGAAAATATGGCAAACCAAGGTTGCTTTGTGTGCTCTGAATGACCCCATGTAATCTTTTCTATAGAAAACCAAATTGGTAATACACAAGTATTTATTCCTCTGCCCAGTCTTCCTTGACATTAAGTTTCATAGTCACCCTAGGTATGAGAGGTATTATTTCTCTAGAACTTTTAATCAACTTACCTTTAGGTTAGTGAGAAATGGATGATAAAACCATTTTTTTCCCCATGCTCCTTGTATGAAGACACATTTGTTTTTGTTGCTGTTTCCCCCTAAAGTTGAACTCGACAAAAAAGAAATATGTATAAGATGAAAGCCTAGGCTTGCTTCACTTTGTGAAAAGAAAAGAAAAAACTTTTTGGTAATGTATACATGCTCTTTATTTTTAGCCCTGTTGCAGTAGGGCCTGATCAGGTCTTGCTAAGAGGTACACAACTTAAAAATACCCGGTGGATCCTTGGCATAGTTGTTTACACTGGATCTGAAACCAAATTCATGCAGGTAAAATAATTTGTGATGACTGTATTGCCTCTAGATTTTTCCCTTTTTTATGAGGTGAGGGGGGTTAGCATCACATGTCTCTTGAATTTAGGAGGCTCATTTCTGTTTACTAACCTGAAGTTTGAAGGGAGGTCCATATTTCATTTTAGTCTACATGGCTCCCATTAGTGGTAAGATTATTTTGGCCAAAATGACATTGGAAGTTCTGTGTAAGTTATTACTCTTACATACCATTCTTCCCAATCACTGTCTTTCGAGAACCCTTCAGTTTGTCCCTTCAGGACATCCTTCAAAACACCTGTTTTGGACTAGGAATGTTTTGCACATTTCTTATCCTTAATACTTTGACAGTAAGTCCGCCCGTTAGTCCATCTGCTAAAATATAACATTTGGCTTTGACTGTTGCTTGCACAAGCATCTCTTTGGCACCTGTGTAATGCCAGACACTGTGCTAAGACCGTGGGGTATAGTAGGGCACAAGGCCTGTTTCCTGCCCTCGACTTACCTGCGGTCTGTGAAGGAAGACAATCAAGGTAACGTAATAGCCAGAGGTCACTAAGGCAGGTTAAGTGTAGGACGCTGTGTGTTTATATAGGAGCTCCATCCAACCTGACATTGAGGCTGTTGTGGGGAAGAACGATGTAAATAAACCGAGACCTGAAAGCTGAGTAGAGCAGATGAAAGTTTCAAGGGTGTGGGGAGGTTCAGAATGAAGGCGCGGTAGGTGGGAGAGCGCTAGACCAAGACTTGCATGTGTCCAGGGGCCATTTGGGGAGCGCTGCTCAGTGTGACTGTAGGGTAAATGGCAGAGAAAGAAGGCATGGAATGGTGACAGACTAGTCCGAGGAAAGTTGGGGCCCTTGTGACTGGGGCCCTAGGTACATTTTCTTGCAAAGCTATGACTGGTCAGTAACATTCCACTCTCTCTTTGCTTCCTGATTTCTTGTCTCACTTTTCTTTTTCCTCTCATTCTTCCTGCCCTGGGATTGCACCCTGCAGTAGTGCGTTAATGTGTAAGTTTTCCTTACACTCTGTATACTAAAAACCCCGGACGAAGATGGCGATATAGACACGGTCTACCCACAAATAGAAGTTTGTATCTGGACAGTGAACCAAGGGCAACATAGACCCACATAATCGTGACCTGTGATTCAACTGTAAAACGCACAACTCTCAAACGCTACACCCTTCTGACTTCAGTTGTCTTCAAATGATCGTGCTGTTATTACTTAATTGTATAGCTGGTGATACAACATTCAATCTCAAATTTAAATGCCTACTGTTGATTTAAGGAGCCTGTCCCATTATCTCCCCTGTGTGGCTAGTCTGTGCAGCAGCTCATGAGAAGGTGCATCCTACTATTCCACATTATTTTGTGGGTGTAAATCATTGCTTATTATACATGCTGATTGGGTCATTTCAGAATAACAAAAATCTCAAAGTGGGCCTTTTCATAACTTCAGGAAAGAAAGAACTAGTAAATGTAAATATTTCCTTACTGAAAGGTTTTAAGCACAACACGCTTAGCTGAAAACTATTCTATATTGTATAGCATTTGAAGACATTACTTATACCAGTTAAAAAAAAGAGAAGGAATGACATGATTGCTTTGGAGATATTATACATAGATGTATATATTATATAAATTATAGTACGTACACATATATGCACGGACATTCTCTAATAATATGCTTAATGCAGTTAAAACTAGGATTTCAATTTTTATTCCTGTGCTTTGTAAAAAAGCTGAGTAATTTAGCTTACTAACTCATATTTTCATAACTAATAGATTTTGAGGATTTATGCTTCCACACTTAAAAAAATGTAGGGGCACCAGTGTGGCTCAGTCATTTAAGAGTCTGACTAGTGATCTGAGCCCAGGTCTTGATCTTGGGGTTGTGAGTTCAAGCCCTATGTTGGGCTCTGCACTGGGTGTGAAACCTACTTAAAAAAATATGTAGAAATGGTAAATTTAATCTGGCAAAGTATGGTTGCAAAGTTAAATACCTATATCTGTTTATATGCTGGCTAATTATACATGTTATATATAAGAAAGTTAAATATACATTTATTTGTCAATATTTTAATAGACCTATGCAGACAATTATCAGAAATTTATGGGTAAATTTGAAATGCTAATAGAAAGTTATTACTTGAAGCTCTCCTGTATCCCTAACCCAGAGCTTTGGTGTCCCTAAAATAAGCATGTGTTAGAATAATTATTGTACTGGTAAAATCTTTTAAAAAAATTTTTTTAATGTTTATTTTTGAGAGAGAGAGAGACAGAGCACGAGTGGGGAGGGACAGAGAAAGAGGGAGACACAGAATCTGAAGCAGCCTCCAGGCTCTGAGCTCTCAGCACAGAACCCGATGCGGGGCTCAAACCCGTGAAAAGTGCAAGATCATGCACGGCCTGAGCTGAAGTTGGACCCTTAACCGACTGAGCCACCCAGGTGTCCCTGTACTGGTAAAATCTTGAATATTTCCCCAACAGACTCAGATAAAAGGTATCTTTCCATGGTTTTCAAACCAGAAATAATTCAATAACTATAAATAGTAAAGCCAATAAATTAGTAGTCTTTTTTTTTCTTTTATCTGTACAGAAGATCACCTAGACTGTGTGATTTCCCACATTTACTTTTTTAAAAAACCCTAGAACTGTGGGGTGGTAGGTCCGCTGTGTGAATATGTTCTCTGTGAATAAGTAGTAGATGCTTCAAGGACTGAAGTGGGAAAGCCACATCATTCAACAACATGGTGCTTTCAGTGTTGGTACTTACTTGGCAAAAACCATATTCTCCTTTTCAACTGTTGGGATTTTTGACCTCCTCTTACCATAAAAATATTCATGCATTATAATTCCTTTGATTGTTTTTCATTCTCTTTGGTGTGTATGCATTCGCTATGGTGCAGAATTCCATCAAATTGCCTCTCAAGAGATCGACTGTTGAGAAGGTGACCAACGTGCAGATCCTGGTGTTGTTCCTGCTGCTTCTGGCCATGTCCTTGGTGAGCTGTGTGGGAGCCATACTCTGGAAGGAAGGGCATGGAGGAGACATTTGGTACATCGGGGCGAAGGGTAAGTGTCCGAGGGTGTCGAGAAGCTACCATTTGAAGAGTGGTAACGCTTTGAAGTGACTTTAAACACTTGTTTCCATGTTTTTATTTGAAAGGGAAGGCCCTTGTTCTAACTGGTAGAACAGTTAGAACAGTTTTTGTTGTTTGTTTTGGTTTTTTGAGACACTGAGGATTAGTGAGTTTTAGAAACAGTGTTTCCTTCTTAAGATTGTTCTGCCAGTGCCACATAATCTTGGCATTCCAGAATAAAGGAGAGAAGACGGGTCAAGGCAGAGGAATGAGACAGTGAGGCAGACACACAGGGCCTCTGTCCTTGGCTTTGTCACTTAGTCACCAGGAGAACTTGGACAAGGCTTTTTACTTCTCTGAGCAATGCTTCCCTCATTTGAAAATGGGGATAATACCTACCTTATGGGGTTAGTACAGTGCTCTGTATACAAGGATTGATGCCCCCCAAATGAAGACAAGGGTCCCTGAAGGGGACCAGAAGGTTGGTAAAAGATGTAAACTGATACTTGGCCATTAAAAGTTCAGTCTTTTTTTTTTTTTTTTTTTTTGCTTATGTCTTTCCATGTTTTCACAATTAACCGTCATGTATCTTCCTACTTTTCTCATCTATCAACTGAGGATTTTAAATTGTTCTAACTTCCCTTGAGCAGATCTGTCTGGGAGCATCTTAAAAATAAAGAAGGGGCGCCTGGGTGGCGCAGTCGGTTAAGCGTCCGGCTTCAGCCAGGTCACAATCTCGCGGTCTGTGAGTTCGAGCCCCGCATCAGGCTCTGGGCTGATGGCTCGGAGCCTGGAGCCTGTTTCCGATTCTGTGTCTCCCTCTCTCTCTGCCCCTCCCCCGTTCATGCTCTGTCTCTCTCTGTCCCAAAAATAAATAAAAACGTTGAAAAAAAAAATAAAAAAAAAAAAATAAATAAAGAAGCTAAGATACAGACTTTGTAGATTGTATCAGAAAACTATGGATTCATTCCTATGCAATCTTGGTTTCTAAATGTTACTTGTATGGTTTTTAGCTCAAGCTTTTAGATTTTCAGTGATTTCAAAAAAGTAATCTCAACTTAAATGTGCTTGTTTAATTTATCCTAGCCCAAGACTGTGAATATTATATTATTTTGACACAGATATAAATTCTTACAGAAGTCACTGACATTTTGGTGTTGATAAAATGTCAAATTCTGCATACCCCACAAATGACCTTTTATTGCCTTCTTCGTCAGACTTCTTGAAGGAGACACAACCCTCACTGTTTCTATTTTCTTACCTCCTGGTCCCTTCCCATCTGCTAGCCATTTCAATCAGTCTACTGGAATTGTGGCTCAAGGCAATTCCTAATTGCCAAACCCAGTGGTCATTTAAGTGGAATTGAATTGGATTTCTGCCACCCTCTTCTGAGTTTTATTTTATTTTTTATTAAAGTTTATTTATTTATTTTGAGAGACAGAGAGAGCAAGTGGGGAAGGGACAGAGAGAGAGAGGGAGAGAGAGAATCTCAAGCAGGCTCTACACTGTCAGCACAGAGCCCGATGCAGGACTTGAACTCATGGACCGTGAGATCATGACCTGAACCGAAACCAAGAGTCGGAGGATTAACAGACTGAACCACCCAAGCGTCCCACCCTCTTCTGATTAAAAAAAAACAAGCAAACAAATCATCTGTTCCTTACTTGATTCATGAAAACCTTGATCCATCTCTTACATGCTGGTGTTTTGCAGGATCCTGTGTTCACCAGGAATGCCTCAACTTGGGTCCATAAATCCTGAAAATTTTGTGAAACTTTTAGTCCTATATTTATGTATGCATGTTTTTTCCTGTAGGATGGCCTTCACCAGCTTCTTAGGGATTGTTTTATCCAAGAAAATCCTAAGAGAGCTCACTTGCTTTAATAATTTCAGTTGTCATCCATTAGTTGATTTCTCTTCTACCTGCTTGCCTCCAGCCCAGATACCTCTATGAATTATTAACTCAATGATGCCTGGAGATTGCTTTCCAGATATCTTGTAGACTTCTTACATCATGTACAAAACTAAATTCAAGTTGTTTTCCCCAAATGAGTGTCTTTTTTCAGTATTCTCCATGTAAATTGTAGGTATTGCTATCCAACCATTATCCAAGCTGGAAACATGAATGTCACTCTCACCCCTCCTCGCTTCCTCCTCTTTTCCCCACTTCTGTCCCCATGGCCTTCATCCTCCAATCAGTTCCAAAGTCTTATTGATTCCACCTTTTCAATATTTTGTCTGTGCACACTCTCGTTTTCATCCCTGAACTACTGCCACAGTTCTCCAACTGTTTGCCCAGCCCTCAGTCAAGTTCCACTCAGATTCATTCTTTATACAGTTTCCAGAAAGATGTATGTAAAAAGTAGTTATGAATGCATGCAGTAGCTTCACTGTATCCTGTTGTTTACAATGGCTTGGTGGGCCACTGCCTGATGGCCCATTGTTAGTTTTTGTAAATAAAGTTTACACAGCCATATTTATTTGTTTATGTATTACATGTGATTGCTTTCTTTCTTTTTTTACAAAATTTTTAATGCTTATTTATTTATTTTGTTTATTTTTTAACATTTATTTTTGAGAGACAGAGAGAAACACAGCATGAGCAGGGGAGGGGCAGAGAGAGAAGGAAACACAGATTCCAAAGCAGGCTCCAGGCTCTGAGCTGTCAGCACAAAGCCCAATGTGGGGCTCGAACCTACAAACTGTGAGATCATGACCTGAGCGAAAGTCGGATGCTTACCTGACTAAGCCACCCAGGCGCCCATAATGTATGTTTATTTTTGAGAGACAGGTCACGAGTCGGGGAAGGGCAGAGAGAGAGGGAGACACATAATCCAAAGCAGGTTCCAGGCTGTGAGCTGTCAGCAGAGAGCCTGACGGGGGGCTCGAGCCCACGAACCGTGAGATCATGATCTGGGCCGAAGTCAGATGCTTCACTGACTGAGCCACCCAGATGCCCTTACATGTGATTACTTTCAATGCTACAACAGCAGAGTTGACTAGTTGGAACTAGGACTGTATGTCTTGTAAAACCAAAATTATTTATCCTCTGGCTATTAGCATGGCACATCAGGACTTTTATATCTGGTCCTATCTCCATCATCTGATACTTAGTCTGTATTCACAGAAGACTGACTTTTGTTCTCTTTCGTGATCCTTCCATCCACCAGTTGCTTCAGCATCTCTAGGCCTTTTGTCTACAGTTCCTTCTGCCTCAATGCACCTCTGGTCTCTTCGTGACGGGATACCTGTCTCTTCTCATTTCAGTCCAAGATGAGGCATTACCTTCTCCAGCAGGATTTCCTATATCTTATCTCCCTCTCTTAGTTAGGAGGCCTCTTTGGCTTCTATAATGATGTCCTTAATAGATATCATTCCATTTCCATGTTTTATAATCATTGTTTGCCCCATCCTTCCAGCTAGATTGTGAATTTTTGAGGACAGGAATCATTGTATCTTTAACTCCAAGAACAGTGCCTTTTCATAATAGGAACTCAGTAATTAATTTTTTAAGTAAAAGAAATAATTTTTATATTTAGAAGCAGAACTCTATTGTTTTCTAGCCCAGCCCCTTGTTTTATGAAAAAAAAAAAAGCACAGAGGAAGTTACTGGCTTATTTGGAATAAAAATCTGTTATTGGCTCTGGACTATATCACTCTGCCCAAGATATTCTAGTCTAAAAGAAGAGAAAGGTATTGGGTAATTAAACTATAACTGCATTTCCAGTAATTAATACATTTAACAAAGCACTAGAGATCTTTTCTCAACTTCTCTGTCCAAAAAAACGGTCCTAATAATATCTGCCTCTAGTATTCCTAAAAGACTGATTTATGACCATAAGGTAGCATAGTAAGTATAAAAGTGTAATCATGGGGCAAATAAGGGAAAGTTAGTAAACTCAAGGTGATAAGAATTTGAATTGATATGATAGTGAATTAAACTTGACCTTTAGGTTGATGGAATTTAGAAATCTAGATTTAACTACGATCGTTCTGAGTTACAGGTGTGTTCCCTTTTAGGAAAAATGAATATAAAATTTTAACTTAAAATTATTTAATTTTGTCTCTCAGTATACATATTTGTGCTTAATTAATCTGACAAATCAGTTTGTTTAGTTCTTTTCAGTTGTAACTCAACATATAAATTTAATACATAAGATTGAGATGTAAGTTTTCATAAAGACCTATAGAAAGCAGTCTGTATTTATCTCCTGAATACCTTCTGTATATTTTTCAGTAAATTTCTGTGAAATTAGATTGAACTTTTTTTCTTTTCCTTTTGGCTTTACTTTCCTTCATTTCTTAAGTTTAAAAAATCATTAATTATCTCTTTGTCTTCAAGCCACATACTTCCACCTAAATAAATGTCCTCTTCACGCTCTTCCTTTCATCTCCATTTAACAAACTCCCTTCCTCAAAACTGGGCTCACCTTCTTCTGTGCACCCTCTTTCTGGGCCCTCCATTTTGTGTTGTTGCAACTCTTCGTGTTCAGCGCTATCATGGATTTCACTGTGTCGTAATTCCTGACACATCTTCCTTTCTCAAGCTGCATCCAAAGCTCCCTGGGAGCAGGGTCTGTCTCTTGCTAGATCTTGTATGTTGACGCTTGGCACAAGCCCTATTACAGTGTTGGTGCTTAACTGAGACTTAACTCCAGATGGCAAACAGACACATGAAAAGATGCTGTGTCACCCATCATCAGGGAAATACAAATCAAAGCCACACTTTGAGATACCACCTCACACCGGTCAGAGTGGCTAAAATGAACAATTCAGGAAATCATAGATACTGGCAAGGAACGGGAACCCTTTTGTACTGTCGGTGGGAATGCAAACTGGTGCAGCCGCTCTGGAAAACAGTGTGGAGGTTCCTCAAAAAATTAAAAATAGAACTATCCCTCCTAGCAATAGCCCTGCTAGGAATTGACCCAAGGGATACAGGAGTGCTGATGCAGAGGGGCACGTGTACCCCAATGTTTATAGCAGCACTTTCAACAATAGCCAAATTATGGAAAGACCCTAAATGTCCATCAACTGACAAATGGATAAAGAAGATGTGGTTTATATATACAATGGAATACTGCTTGGCAATGAGAAAGAATGAAATCCGGCCATTTGCAACAACATGGATGGAACTAGAGGGTATTATGCTAAGTGAAATAAGTCAGTCAGAGAAAGACAGATACCATATGTTTCACTCATATGTGGATCTTGAGAAACTTAACAGAAGACCATGGGGGAGGAGAAGGGGGAAAAAAAGTTACAGAGAGAGAAAGAGGCAAACCATAAGAGACTCTTAAATACAGAGAACAATCTAAGGGTTGATGGGGGTGGGGGAGAGGGGAAAGTGGGTGATGGGCATTGAGGAGGGCATTTGTTGGGATGAGCACTGGGTGTTGTATGGAAGCCAATTTGACAATAAACTATATTAAAAAATAATAAAACTACTTTATGTGTCCATTTAATTTTACCCTTAATAGTAATTTTCATGGAGAAATTTTCACAATTTTAAAATGTAATAATGCAAAGAAGAATAGAGGTATTGCCTGAAGCTGTGACATGATTCCTCTGATCTTCTTCCACAGATTACAGCTCCCACAGCTTAGGGTTTGACATATTGGTGTTCATCATCTTGTATCACAATCTCATCCCCATTAGCCTGCTGGTCACTCTGGAAATTGTGAAATATATTCAGGCCCTGTTTATAAACTGGGTGAGTATGAAAATCAGAAAGTTTAAAAACAAGTTCTCTCTTGACCTGTGGCTTTGGTTTTAAGAATCAGAGTGCCTGAGTTCCTACCGTGGTGCACGGGTGAGTTGCATTCCTGACAGGAGAGCCAAACATCAGGGTCAGCCTGACTCAGCAGTGCCTGGGCCTCTGAGGACACTGTTTCTTAATATGTTTTTTCCTAGCTGATAAGAAAGATTCAAGAGTAGTGACTTAGTAGCAACTGCAAAGAGATGGCCCATTAAAATTTAAGATATTCTAGAACAGTAGAGTCCAGTAGACTTACAATAGATTTACGTATCTTGGCAAGAGTGACAGAAACAGCCATTCCAGAATGACTTCAAACTAAGGAAAAGATTTCTTAGGTGAAAACCATGCATTCACTTAAATTGATACTTAGTATCATGTGACCGAGCAAATTTTCTTCTTTGAATGTGCATTTGCAATTTTTAGTTATATTTAAAAAGATTTTTTTGTGGAAATAAATTTTTTTGCTAGATGTCCTACTAAAATGTTTCCCTGTATCAATGAATTACCATCACTTGAAGGGTAGTGTTATTTTTAACAACCACAAAATGAGACAGAGTGCTTTTAAGTGTATTCTCATTTAAAATTCACAGTGGCACTGTGAGATCCGTGTTATCGCTCCCATTTTATAGATGTAGCTGCTGCAAAGCATACTCAGGATCTCAGACACTCTGTGGGAGTGTCGGAGGCGGAGCCGGGATTTGGAAGCCAAGTCTTCCAATACCAAATCAACGACACACTGATATTTGTTTCTATGTAGCATTGCCTGTCCTGAATCAGCTCTGCCAAGGCGTGTGAGAAACTAGCACCCAAGACTCTCTTAGTATTCTAGACTCCATTTTGAATTCTTTCTCATGTCAGCCATGTCAGAAGACCAGTGGCAGCCCAGGTGACCTGCAGACGTTTTGAGCCTAGTTCTGACTGCGTGGCTTGGCTGTTTTGCTCATTTCTTGCAGGATGAAGATATGCATTATGAAGGAAATAACGTCTATGCCGTGGCCAGAACGTCCAATCTTAACGAAGAGCTTGGGCAGGTGAGGGCCCCTTCAGGGCCTGGGTATGTGACAAGAACTTTGAAGAAGGTGGATCTAGGGAGAGCGTGTGCAAAGTTAAAGTGCGAATTCAGCCATAAGCTGTAGTTGACATGATACCCATGTGGAGCTTCAAAAGTATAATTAGCTAAAAATACTGATAATGCATCATGGGTTGCAAGTCGAACGGACCTAATACAGGTTATTAATGTGCTTATGAAAGAGTAGAAGAGCTGGAGAGGCAGGTAGTGAAAGCGTCAGTTAGCTCTCAAGTTTTCAGTTAGCTTTCAGGGAGTCACAGGAACCTGGGCATCTGCCACTGGTGGCCATGCTCCTGCTTCCCTACGGCAGAGGACCCACAGGGAAGCATCTGGAGCCTGCTGCAAAATTTCATACCCATCTAACCCATGCATCTGCCCATAGCTGCCAATAGGGCAACGATGCAGCTTGTAATTCTTTACTGCAAGTTCCTTTCAGTGGTAGAATCTAAACTGGAATCCTGGGAGATAGGGACAAATGTACCCTCAGGTCATGAGCCCCTACAGTACAACAGAAAGGGGCAGGAATGATGCCAGGTTACCAATGGACAGTTGGTTGCCTTCTAAGTGACAGTGGCAGCTTTACAAGTATAAATTGTGTTTAAAAACTCCCACAATTATTTGTCAGTTATACCTCAGGACAGCTGGAAAAACTCAGCTAACTCCCACAGTCGTATGGTACCTGGAAGGATGGGACTTCCGATTGGTACTTTTTTGTAATTATTTTTGCTATTAATGTTTTTTTTAATAATATTACAAGTTCCCATCTTTCAATTAATTGGAAGCAATATGTAAATTATGATAAAAAGCAGACTTTCGGAGTTAAACTTCCCGGGAGTGAACCTTGGTCTCACTATTTACCAGCAGCGTCACCATGGGCTTCTTAGGTAACTTTACTGGCCTGGATTCCTCATCTGTAATTCGGGCATGTCGATAGCAACTACTTCAGAAGGTTGTTTGGAGGACTGAATAAGATAATGTATTTGTAATACACTCAGCACAGTACCCAGTGTGAAGAAGGGATTTAATTAACCAGTATTTAGTTTATATGATTTCTAATTTATGGTCACATTGTATAGTATCATTTGAATAGTGAGTTCTCAGTAAATATTTATTTTAGAATATTTCTGGCTCTTGGAAATGCCTGACCTGAGAACACCATTAATAGCCTTTTTACCTTGGAAAACTAAAAATGAAGGAGGATGGAATAATCAGCTCTCTAGCAACTTTTCTGCTCGTGAAAATCTGATCATTTGCTAATCCTTTAGAACATATGTTTTCTGTTGACAGTTGGGAAAAAAATCAGTTTATCCCTCTTGCCTTGTCAGTCGACTCTAGCTACTTTAGAGTAGTAATTCAATATAATAAAACTGGCTTTGGAACTCAAGCTTTGAAAATTAATTATACTGGGACGCCTAGGTGGCTCAGTCGGTTAAGCATCTGACTTCGGCTCAGTTCATGATCTCACCGTTTGTGAGTTCAAGCCCTGCATCGGGCTCTGTGCTGACAGCTCAGAGCCTGGAGCCAGCTTCAGATTCTGTGTCTCCCTCTCTCCCTGCCCCTCCCCACCCCTCCCCCGCTCACACTCTGTCTCTCACAAGTAAATAAACATTAAAAAAATTTAAAAAAAAATTAATTACATTGTTTATGTAGGTAATACATAAAGATAAGAGCAGAAATAAAACAAGACAATAAGTTTAATATTCAGAATATATAAAAACTAGTACAACTCAATAGCAGAGGACTTTAATAGACATTTTTCCAAAGAATGTATATAAACAAACAATAAGCACCTGAAATGATGCTCAACATCCCTGATCTTTAAGGAACTGCAGATCAAAACCATAATGAAATAGCACTTGGCAGCCACCAGGACACCTACTGTAAAACTTTCAAACCAGAGAACACGTGTTCATGTGAAAATGTAAGATGGTGCAGTCACTGTGGAAAACATTATGGAGAAACCTCAAAAAACGAAATCTAGAATTACCATATGTTCCAGCAGTTCCACATCTGGGGATTTTCACAGAAGAATTGAAAGTAGGGACTCAAACAGCTATTATACACACACATGTTCTAAGCAGCACTATTCACAATAGGCAAATGGTGGAAACAACTCAAACGTCCAATAAATAATTGAACAAAATGTGGTCTGCACATACAGTGGAATATTATGCAGTCCTGAAAATGAATGAAATCTGGAAACAGGCTACAGCATGGATAAATCTTGAAGATTATGCTAAGTGAAATATGCCAGACACAAAAGGACACAAATAGAACATGACTCAGCTTATATGAAGTACTTGGAATAGTCAGATTTATAGAGACAGAAAGTAGCATAGTGGTTGCTAGGGGCTGCAGGGAGGACAGAATGGGGAGTCATTGTATTGTTGAACTGGTAGGAGGTTTCAGTTTGGGATGAGAAAGACGTTCTGGAGGTGGATGGTGGTGACGGTTGCACCACTATGTCAATGTGTTCAATAAGAACACTTAAAAATGGTCAAAACGGTAAGTTTTATCCAAAAGCACTTTACCATGATAATAAAAAAATGGTTTAACATTGCCTCTTTTCCTTTCTTTATTGAGTATAATTGGCATCTATGATTATATTAGTTTCAGGTGTGCAACATAATGGTTTGGTATTTGTATATATTGCAAAACGATCATCATAAGAAGTCTAGTTAACGTCTGTCACTATACATAGTTACAGAGTTCTGGTGATGAGAACTTTTAAGATGTATCTTCCTGGCAGCTTCTGAACATGCAGTATATGGTAGTATTAACTACAATCACCGTGTTTTCCACGACATCCTGAGGATTCATTTACTTTCTAACTGGAAGTTTGTACCTTTTGACCCCTTTCACCCATTTTGCTCACTCCTTGCCTCTGACAACCACCAATCTGTTCTCTGTAGCGAGTTTAGTTATTTTTCTTGTTCAGATTGCACAAGTAAGTGAATCCTGTGGCATTTGTCTTTCTTTGTCTGACTTACTTCACACAACATAATGCCCTCAGAGTCCTTTCATGTGCAAACAGCCAGATTTCCTTCTTTTTATGGCTCAATTGTGTGTGTGTATAATTATGTATTACTGTATTACATATACACTACATTTTCTTTGCTCCATTCATTCATTGACAGGTTGTTTTATCTTGGCTATTGTAGATAATGCTGCCATGAGCATAGGGGTATATCTATCTTTTTGACTTAGTGTTTTCATTTTCTTCAAATAAATACCCAGAAGTGAAATTGCTGGATCATATGGTAGTTCTGTTTTTAATTTTTTGATGAGCTTCCATGCTGTTTTCCATAGTGGTTGCCCCAATTTCCACTCCCACCTACAGTGCACAAGAGTCCCCTTTTCTCTACGTCCTTGCCAACACTTACTGTCTTTTGGTAATAACTGTTCTAACGGGTGTGAAGTGATATCTCATTATGGTTTTGATTTGCATTTCCCTGATGATTAGTGGTGCTGAACATCTTTTTATGGGTCTGTTGGCCATTTGTATGTCTTCTTTGGAAAAACATCTATTGAGATCCTCTCCTCATTTTTAAAATTGGATTATTATTTTGCTGTTGAGTTGCATGAGTTCTTTATATATTTTGGACATTAACCCCCTTCATCAAATATATTATTTGCAAATATTTTCTCCTATTCATTGTGTTACCTTTTCATTTTGCTGATGATTTCTTTTGCTGTGCAGAAGCTTTTTAATTTAATGTAGTCCCACTTATTTATTTTTGCTTTTGCTGCCTTGGTTCTTAGTGTCAAATCCAAAAAATCATCACCAAGACTGATGTCAAAGAGCATACTACCTATGTTTTCTTCTAGGAGTTTTATAGTTTTAGGTCTTGTGTCCAAGTATTTAGTCCATTTTGAGTTAATTTTGTACATGGTATAAGAAAGTGGTCCAGCTTCATTCTGTTGCATGTGGTTGTCAAGTTTATTGGTGAGATTGTCATTTATTTATTGAACACCATTTATTGAAGAGACTGTCCTTTCTCTATTGCACATTTTTGTCTCCTGTGTTGTAAATTAATTAACCATATGTTCATTGGTTATTGCTGAGCTCTTTTTTCCGTTCCATTGACCTATGTGTCTGTTTTTATGCAAATCCCATACTGTTTGGATTTCTATAACTTTGTAATAGAGTTTGAAATCAGGAAGCATGATACCTCCTTTGTTCTTTCTCAAGATTGCCTTGGTTATTTGGGGTTGTGGTTGCATACACATTTTAGGATTATTGTTCTAAATATGTGAAAAATGCCACTGGAATCTTGATAGGGATTACATTGAATCTGTAGTTGGTTTGGGTAGTATGGACATTTTAACAATGTTAATTTGTGGAATATCTTTCTATTTGTGTTTTCTTCAGTTTCTTTGATCACGGGTTTTTTGCCTCCTTGATTAGATTTATTCCTAGGTATTTTATTCTTTTTGATGCAATTGTAAATGGAATTGTTAATGTTTCTAACAGTCATTATTAATGTATAGAAATTCAACAGGTTTCTGTGTGTTGAATTTGTAACCTGCAGCTTTACTGAATCCATTCATTCTAAGGAGTTTTTGGTGTGGTCTTCTGCAAATAGTGACAGTTTTACTTTTTCCTTTTTAATTTAGGTGCCTTTTATTTTACTTGCCTAATTGTTCTGGCCAGGATTTCCAATGCTATGTCGAATAAAGTGGTGAGAGTGGGCACCCTTTCTTGTTTCTGATCTCAGAGGAAAAGCTTCCAGCTTCTCACCGTTGACCATTGGTGTTAACTTCAGGCTTGTCATATTGACCTTTATTATGTTGAAGTTTGTTCCCTTTAACCCCTACTTCATTGAGAGTTTTTATCATAAATGGATGTTGAATTTTGTCAAATGCTTTTTCTGCATCTCCTGAGATGGTTGTATTACTTTTATCCTTTATTTTATTGATGTGGTATATCACATTGATTGATTTTTTAAACTATTCTTGTATCACTGGAATAAATTCCACTTGATGATGTTGTGTAATCTTTTCAATGTACTGTTGAATTTGATTTGCTAATATTTTGTTGAGTATTTTTGCATCTATGCTCATCAGGGATATTGGCCTCTACATTTTTTCTATAATGTCTTTATCAGGTTTTGGGGTGTGTGTGTGTGTGTGTGTGTGTGTGTGTGTGTGTGTGTGTGTCTATATCTTTCTATCTATATATACACTTAATGTTTTCTAGAGACCTTTGATGAGATTTCTTGTGGCAAGAAAAAGAACTTGGAGTTTTGATTTTCTTAGGTTGGATGGCCTGAAATTTACTTTGCATATTAACATAAAATTTCACCTGCAGTATAAAACAAAGAGAACCTCTGAAAGAAGTATAAATATTAAAGGCAGAATTTTTGTAGGCTGAACTTCTTTTTACTAAAAGTTCAAATATTTTGAGGCTTTAAAGAAAAGAACTTAAATTTGTCTTTGCTCTTAATTTTTATATTTATGTTGTTTATCATGTTTGTTTTTTCTTTATTTAGGTAAAATATTTATTTTCTGATAAAACAGGAACACTCACTTGCAATATTATGACATTGAAGAAGTGTACCATTGCAGGTATAATTTATGGGTAAGTGGCTTTTTTTTTTTTTGCCATACTCTGTTGAAAATTCTCATTTTTTAAACAGATTAATAAGTCTTTATTTACTTCAAAACTTAAATGAATTTCTAATAACATAGCTATATCTGAATGAGACTGAAACGTAAATGAAAACTGGCAGTTGTTAAAAAATATGGTTTATATCAGCTTTTTTAAAGTGTTTTTTTAAGAATTCCTGAAGTTTTTTATATGTATAGCCTTATAACCTCCCTCGTTTTCCCTCAGAAATCTGTCAAACAGAAGTGATACCGTTTTGGACAACCTAAGGTAACTAGACAACATTCTTTTCTACTTTGCCCATGTTCCTTTTCCCCTGTAATGGGCTTTTTATCAGTACTGGAGTTCTGATATATGGTAACACAGCTATCCCTTGTCCAGATCTCCAAAGGCAGTTCCCAGAAATCTCCCCTGGATGGATCTTTCCCATGTGATATTCAAAGAACCCAGAATCCAGACTTTGATTTATTGATTTTATGGTCACTCTGTCTTAAACTCTGTATGATTACATGGTTTTCAACACAGGTTTAGGCATTTTCTAATGCCATTTTGCAACTTGAGGGCTGAGAGGATGTATAATTTGACAGAACCTTAAATATTTACTATACAGCTCACCCTTGAACAACACAGGGGTTAGGGGTGCTGACCCTCTCCAGGCAGTTGAAAATCCGTGTATAGCTTTTAACTCCCCAATTAACTACTCAGAGACTATTGTTGGACCAGAAGCCTTACCGATAATGTAAACGATCGATTACCACAGATTTTGTACATGTATTATAGATTGTACTCTTACAGTAAAGCTAGAGAAAAGGAAGTGTTACTAAGAAAATTACAAGGAAGACAAAATACATTTACCATATTGTACAAGAAAAATCTGTGTGTCAGTGGACCCGCACAGTCCATGTTGTTCAAGCGTCAGCTGTAGTTGTGTAGACTTCATAGTGTAACTTCCTGAAATCAGAAGATGGGGCTGCGTGTTCACTTTAGGTCCATTTGATCCCTGACTGGCTCTGTCAGGAACTTTTAATTACAGTAAATCTTCTCTGTTCTTCCTCAGTGCATCACCGTCTGCCATCACAGAATCCGGTGGATTTAATGACCCAACATTGTTGCAGAACTTTGAGAATGGCCACGTAAGTCTGCTGTTTTCACTCCATGTCACACGGTAATGCTACATAACTTTAAAACATATATGTGGTTTATTAAAAGGTATAATTTTCTGAGCCAGGAAAGAGAGGGTCTTGAAATTTTTTTGATATTAATATAGTGAACAGTGGATTCCATACTGATGTTTTGAGGGGAGTGCCAAACTAACTGGTGTGAATGAATCCAAACGTCACTCAAGAACATTTTACGGTGTAGCAATCTGTGTAAGAAAATCTCTGAATGCTTTTAAGCGCTTTGGTTCTATTGTATTTTACCAATAACTTCACTTACCGATTTCAAAATACTGATCTACTTGATTTGAAATCTTGGTCTTCTCAAAAATAAAAGTGGTCTTTTATTTTTATTTATTTTTATTTTTAAGTGTATTTATTTTTGAAAGAGGGAGAGAGAGAGAGCACAAGCAGAGTCAGAGAGAGAGGGAAGGAGAGAATCACAAGCAGGCTCTGCACTGTCAGCATGGAGCCCCATGTGGGGCTTGAACTCACAAATCGTGAGATCATGACCTGAGAGGAAATCAAGAGTTGGACACTTGACTGACTGAGCCACCCAGGCGCCCCACCCATCAAAACTAAAAGTGATCTTAAAAACATAAATCTTTACGTGTTCTTCCTTTGCTTCAAAACCTTCAGAGGACTGGCACGCCACTTAAGATAAAATCCTAGCTCGTCACCGTGGCTTTCTCTCCCACCTGATTCTGTGTCATTATTCCCCTTGCTCAAGACGCTGGAGTCACACAAACTTGAAGCTCGCAAACCTATGAATCTGTCTCCTGCCTCGGAGCCTCTGAAAGTGCTGTCCATCCCCTTTGTCTAGCCTGTGCCACGGTCACATGTCACAGTCACACAGCTACTAACTTTTCCATTTAGGTCTTAGTTTAGATATTATGTCCTCCAATTCTTCCCCCCAGATCACCTACCTAAAACATGCCCCTCCTTGCTCTGTGACGACCCCTACTTGTTTCCTCCGGCTTTGAGAAAACCTGTTTCCCTGGGGAGGAGAGAAGCTCCAAGAGGGTAGGGTCATCTTGTTCCCTGAGGTCTCCCCGGCCCTGCACTGTCTGCCTTGGTAGCCACTGTGCAAACACGTTCCGAGTGCCTGATGCGGTCTGCAGTCAGCGCTTGGCTCTCTGTCCCTGAGGTGAAAACCGCAGTTGTTGCTACCTGCAGACTGTATCTAACTCTTGTGCCACTGGTGTTGGAAGAGACTCACTGGCTCTGTGCCTTTTTTGTAGCCCACGAGAGATTACATAAAGGAGTTTCTCACCCTGTTATGTGTGTGTCACACTGTTGTTCCTGAGAGAGACGGAGGTAATACAACCTACCAGGCTTCCTCCCCAGGTAGGTGTCTGTCGCGTGCTCCTGGAGCACCCGGTAGGCGAGGAACCCCGAGAAGAGGTGGTGCCGTCACTGATCCCGACTGCCCCCGCGTCGCTCCTTCTCAGGCGTTCTTATGGATCGGGGCTATGGATGGTACTGTGCGATTCTGAGCCACGCTGCAGCGCTGGGGATGCTGCTCCCCACACCTCCAAAGACTGCCCTAAGGACGTTGGTGGAGACGGCTCTTTGAGCTAGGGCTCGGTGGAACATTTAGTCATAATCAGTAACAAGGCAGGAGTAAGGTTGAGGCACTGCGGCATTTTGTGGCGATTCTATCAATGGCTTGTCGAACAAAAACCGTAATGAGTACTAAGAAAGGAATTTAGGCCGGTAAATAGATCTCAGCCTCACTGAAAGGGGTCTATGTAAGCAGATTTCCTCTTTCATGGACGCTATCTGGTAGTTAGATAAGTGCATTTGGAGCCACAAAAAAAAAAAAAAAAAAAAAAAAAAAAAAAAAAAAAAAAAAGCCAAGTTAAAAAAATGTCATGGTATTTTAGCGCTGGAGAATAGAAATCTGTATCAAATTAAATTCAGTGTTAATATCTTCATTCAGTCTCCATTAATACCGACTTTTTGTTGGTAGATGAAGCAGCTTTAGTGAAAGGAATGAAGAAACTTGGCTTTGTTTTCACTACAAGAACGCCATCCTCTGTCACCATAAATGCTGTGAGTAGCATCTTACATTCTCATGATTCACGTGCCCCTTCCAGAGAGACGCAGTAGAGTGGTTGAGTCTGGGAGCTCTGGGATCACAGTGCCTGGGATGCCCACCTGGACCCACACCTTCCCAGCCATTTGTCTCAAGTGTGTTCCTTCTGTGTCTACCCCAGTTTCCCTATGGTGCGTGTCACAGGGTTCTTGTGAGGACTAAATGAGTTAATGTATGAAAAGTAACCGGAATTAGTGAGAAAGCACAGAGAAAGTGAACTATTCCAAAGAGTCAGAATCATCAGATCTTCAAGAAATACACGACTTTTTTTCTATGAAAAATTGAAATGTTTCCAACTATTTTTTTGTGAGTTGTTATTATGTTGATTTGTTCATTTTATTTGATTCATATATATAATATATATTATTTATAAATATATATATAACATATATATTTATGTACTATATATATATATATATATATATATTTTGTCTCGATGACCACTTACCACAAGCCTTTAATATCATGGGGAAGGACTGATGCAATGCAAGCATGATGCTCAACTCACTAATTTTTTTTCTAGTAATAATGCAGTGGTTAGGGATATTTACTAGACATTCAGCCCTTGGCAGAATGGACTGAATGATTCATCCTTATACCCAGAGTACATGCCACATGGACCACTCTCTAATTATTTGAAATTCTGCACTGCCTTCTTGGTGAACTGATCATGGCTACAGGAAGTCAAGAAGCTGTAATTGGAAAAATTTAGAAAAGAATTCAGATTTTACTGATATAAAATTTTATAGCATTCCGTCTCTTTCCATGCTTATGTCTTCAAATTATCTAAGGATTAAGGATTTCATTTGAACTGCGTGACTTTATGACGGGACTTACTTGTTTTTCCATTTCTGTCTGTTGATGGTCTCCACGTCCCCTTACAACATGAGAGTGTTTATAAACTGTTTCTTGTGGTGCTGACTTTATACTGAAAAGAGGTGTTTCAGCCTTAAATCTGCACTCTGAGAAGCATTTTTCTTATTCCCCAGTTTGCAAACAATGTTCTTGCCAGAAGAGGGCGCCATCATTTCATTAAGTTTGTAAGGAAATTTCTGTTTTGAAAAAGATGTGTAGTTGTCCGGTAAAACTTGTTTCCGACTGGGAGAGTGAGTGGTTTTGCAAGATGAGTACTGTTTTCCTCAGGTAAGAATATGTTGTCTTACCTTCCTATAGATGGGAGAAAACTTCACATTTGAAATTCTTAACATCCTGGAGTTTTCTAGGTAAGCTGCCTTTTCATTTTGTTCATGTATTCTCCAGGGCTCTTTCCGTGACTCTTCAGTTAGGATTTGGAAATGTAAATCAAAGCTTTAATGCAGAATCATGCTGGTCAGCTTCCATCGAGCCTTAAATCTGAGCCTGGTGCTCACTTCTTTAGGCCTCATTAGGCCAAATCCCCTTTTGTAGCTGAGACGGGTTCCCACACCTCGCCTTCTCAGCTCTCGTCAGAGTCACACTTGAGATTTCACATCCGGGTTATTACTTATTGACTGTGTCGCCAGCTAGACTTGGGATCCTAGGAACGCATGAGTCACCTTCTGTGGAATGTGGTATTCAGTAAGTGCTCAATAAACACTTGATGAATAGATGAATATTGGACATTATTTTTACAAATAAACCCAAAATGATTTCTTTAAACATAGATAGTGAAGTAACTCCTTTTTTTACCCCCAAAGGAGGCAATGTGCATCCACATTGTCTTCTCTTCTCTTGGATTTCAGAGGGCCTTCTGGTCCAGCTACTGTGGCCTGGTCCCCATAGCCTATTGTGAGGACATTGGTGATGATTTTATTTTCATTGCACTGTTTTAAAGACTCACAGAGTCTCAGTCTCTTAGACCATCTGAGCATTTCTAATGTGGACTTTGAAAAATTAGAAAGAGAAATGCTAGAAAATTAGGAAAGGAAGAATTCGTTCTTCCCAAAGCCAGGTGATTTTAAAAATCTTTTTAAAAATATAATTTATTGTCAAATTGGCTTCCATACAACACCCAGTACTCATTCCAACAGGTGCCCTCCTCAATGCCCATCCCCCATTTTCCCCTTCCCCCCATCCCCCCTCAGTTTGTTCTCTGTATTTAAGAGTCTCTCGTGGTTTGCCTCCCTCCCTCTCTGTGTGTAACTATTTCTCCCCCTTCCTTTCCCCCATGGACTTCTGTTAAGTTTCTCAAGATCCACATATGAGTAAGACTTACTGGCCAATGACATACTTTAAAAAAAGCTTTGAACCTCAGAAAAGTTGTTGTTACCAACTTGTCTCTTGAGGACAGCTTCTTCTAAAAACCGTATTACAAGAAAACGTATCTCAGTGTTGATTGTAGCTCTCCTTTCACTTCATATCTGACTGTCACTGCTACTAGAGCACTCGTTTCCTGCCCTTAAAGTACGAGCTCCTAGCTGGGTGACACTGGAATGACTCAATTGCCTTTAGTGGCATTCTGACAGCTAGGCAGTTAAAGCAATTGCTGGCCCCTGTCCCTATTGAGATGCTTCCCAGCTCAAGTGTTCAGGTGTGGGGCTACTCCCTGGGACCCTCCCCCCTTGGACTGTGCAACACACAGCATTGTAGGATATGATGAATATCTGAGAAGGTGCTGATTTGCAGGCAGTTTGTTTGAGTCTCTTGAAAAGTTGCTGTAAGCCATGGAGAGCCATCCAAGGTTAAGGTTAGGGAATGACAAGATGAGGAAAAAGGAAAAAAAAAAAAAAAGATTTTGGCCAGTTTACTTTGGCAGGGTGTGGGATAAGGAGGAGAGGGGAGATCTTCAAGCCTATTTGGGCTGCTAACTCAGGAATGAAAGCAATGACTTTAAGTTCTGTCTATAATCATAAAAAAACAAACAGGAAAACAATCCAGAGGACTTTGAGACAGAACTATACAGAAAAATAACTGGCATCTCTCAAGCCAGCAGTTGAACATCTCTGTGCAGCAGAGTGGGGACAGGAGGATCTACTTGACAGAGATGTTGTGAGGCCTGAAAAATACACAACCAGGGAAGCTTTCCTCTTTCCTCATCAGTTCGTAAGTGATTATATTATATATGCTATATGTATATATAATTTATGTCTTATATGTGTAATGTGTGATAAGTGTATGTTACGTTACATATGTATTACATAATACATAATAGTAATATAAAACACAATATATGTTATACATATCACGCTATGTAATTAACATGTAAAATATATATATGTATATATATATGTATATATATTTGTGCTAATAAGTTTCCATGGAAGAAAAGGATAGTAACTGAGAAACAGTAGTAGTAGAAGGTGGAGATTTAGATTAGAATCTCAGTTTAAAGAAACAGGTAAAGAAAAAAGAAATGGAGGCTGGCAAGAAACATGTTGGCCTTTTCACTAATGGTCAGCTGAGGACTCTGAGAATTCTTTTAACTTGGATTTTGTGTGTGTGTGTGTGTGTGTGTGTGTGTGTGTGTGTGTGTGTGTGTTAGCACCATGTACTGAGGAACATGGAAACCAATAATGCATTTCATATTGTCTTAGTAATAGAAAAAGGATGTCTGTAATTGTCCGAACTCCTACAGGAAAGCTCCGGCTGTACTGCAAAGGGGCTGTAAGTATCATGATTCATCATTCGTATTAACGCCTTCCCTCTGTTTCAACAACTTGCAGGAAGCCTTTTACAACTTTGCAATTATTTTTCAATGTTACTTTGAATCTGCTGTTACCATTGGTCGTTGCCAGCATCAGCCAAGGCTGAAAAGTCCTTTCTAGGTAGCCCCAAAGCTTCCCCAAGCCTCAAGTCATTGAAATTTATGGTGATCCACACCAGAATGTTTATTAAGCTTTAATGTCAGTGAAAAATTTGTTGTCACTCAATTGGTCTGTTGAGAACTAATGAGTAGATTGTTGATGCTAAGAGTTTAGAGCAGGAATTTTGATCCCCATTTTAAGCCCAAAGTGCTTGGATTTGGTGAATCTCAGGAAATGGCTTTGCCTCTGTAAATCTTTTTTTTTTTAAGCACGTATATATTTGTTCACAGCCATATGTACTTAAAATAAAAACAGCTTACAGGGTGCCTGGGTGGCTCAGTTGGTTGAGCGTCTGACTTTGGCTCAGGTCATGATCTCACGGTCCGTGAGTTTGAGCCCCGCGTCGGGCTCTGTGCGGACAGCTTGGAGCCTGGAGCTGCTTCCGATTCTGTGTCTCCCTCTCTCTCTCTGCCCCTTCCCTGCTCATGCTCTGTCTCTCTCTCTGTCTCAAAAATAAACAAAACATTAAAAAAATTTTTAAAAAAAAGAAAGAAAAACAGCTTTATTGAGGTAAAATAAACTGCACATTATTTAAAGTGTATAATTTGATACGTTTTGATACCAGTCTGCTTTCTGTCAACTACAGATTCGTTTGCATTTATTAAATTTTATATAAAGTCATATAGGATATATGTAAGTCATATAGGATGATTTATTGTGTAGCTTCTTTAACTCACAATTATTCCATTTTTACTTACTTATTTTCTTCCAAGACTTTGTTTAAATTCTAGTTAGTTAACATAGAATGTAGTATTGGTTTTAGGAGTAGAATTTAGTGACTCATCACTTACATACAACACCCAGTGCTCATCCCAACAGGTGCCCTCCTTAATGCCCCTCCCCCATTTAGCCCATCCCCCACCCACCTCCCTCCATCAACCCTCACTTTGTTCTCTGTTGTTAAGAGTCTCTTGTGGTTTGTTTCCCGCTCTTCTCTTTTCCCCTTCCTTCCCATATGTTCATCTGTTTCGTCTCTTAAATTCCACATATGAGTGAAATCATATGGTGGGCTAGCTAGTTATTGGTTTTGATATTCCTGAAGAAAGTGCTTCCAGATTTGATTTTTCTTCAATGTTTCTCTGTTTCCTATTTCATTAACTTCTACTCTTTATTATTCCTATTATTTTGCCTACTTGTGGCTTCATTTGCTCCTCTTTTTCTAGTTTCTTTATTTTTTATTTTAAAGACAGAGAGAGAGTGTGAGCAAGGGAAAGATGCAGAGGGAGAGAGAGAGAGAGAGGAAAAGAGAGAGAGAGAGAGAGAGAGAGAGAGAGGGAGAGAGAGAATCTTAAGCAGGCTCCACGCTTAGTGCAGAGCCCAATGTGGGGCTCAGTTCCACCACCCTGGGGTCATGACCTGAGCCAACATCAAGAGCTGGATGCCAACTGACTGAGCCACCCAAACACCTCAGTCTTTTTATAGTTTCTTAAGGCAGAACTTGATTTGAGAACTTTCTTTCTTTTTTAATACAAATGTTTAGTCCTATACATTTCCTAATTATTGCTTTAGCAGAATGTCACAAATTTTGATGTGCTGCATTTTCATTTTCATTCATTCAGAATATTCTAAGTTTTGTTTTGATGTCTTCTTTGACTCATGGGTTCTTTTTAAGTATGTGTTTTTAAATATTTGTGCATTTGCTAGAGCTATTCTTTTAATTGATTTATAACATAATTCTGTTTTAGTAGAGAACATACTTTATATAACTTGAATCCTTTATTTTATTGGAACTTGTTTTATGGTTCATATTATGACCTATCAAATGTTAAATGTTTTGTAGGCACATAAAAAGTCTGAGTATTCTGTTGTTGTGGGATAAAGTAGTTTATAACTATTAGTTAAGTTGGTTGATACTGTCATCCAAATCTTTTATATCCTTGATGACTCTGTCTGCTTGTTCTATCAGTGATTGAAAGGGGGATATTAAAATCCCCAAATATCATTGTGTCTGAATGGTGATTTTTCATCTTCAAGTTCTTTTAGCTTTTCCTTCATTGCATTTGCTTCTATTAGTTTAAGCTTCATTTTGAAGCTATGTCATTAGGTGTATAAACATTCAGGATTGCCAATTCCTCTTGGTGAAATTGACCCTTTTGTCAGTGCAAAATGATTTTCCTTATCCCTGGCAATTTTCTTCACTCTGAATTCTCTATTGTCTGGTTATAACATAGCCATCGCAGGCTTCTTTTGATTAGTGTTGCTATGGTATATTTTTTTCTTTCTTTTTAGCCCATTTGTGTCTTCATACTTAAAGTACGATTCTTCTAGGAAGCATGTAGTTGGTTGTTTTTTGTTTTGTTTTGTTTTGTTTTTTATCTTTAATCCATCCTGGAATTCTCTGCCTTTTAACTGGATATTAAACCATTTACATGTGCTTACTGATACAGCTAGGTTTAAACACATCATTTTGCCATTTATTTTCTATTTGTTCCAGTTCTTTTTTCATTTATGACAAGAATTACTTCAGTATTTTTTTATTCCTATATCTCTCCTTTTTAAAATTTGATTAGTTGTTTTAGGTCTTAGAGTGGGCATCTTTATTACATTCTGTCTTGGAGTGATTATATACCTTACAATTCTGTACTTCCATCTGTTTCCACCCAATCTTTGTGCTCTTGTCAGACATTTTAATTTTATAAATGTTATAAACTTCACAGTGTATTGTTATTAATTTTGCTCAAGCAATTATCCTTGTTAAAATAAATAAGAAAAATACTGTGTGTGACACACACTCATGTCATTATCATTTTCAGCGCTCTTCAGACTCATGTTTCTATTTGCTATAATCTCCTCTCTGACAGATTCCCTTTACCATATCTTATAGCATGCATCTGTTGGCAATAAGTTTTTTCAGCCTGTTTATGTCTGAAAAATATTTTTATTTCATCTTTATTTTCTCTCACCTTCATTTTGAAATAAATTTTTGCGGAATATAGGATTCCAGGTTGACAATTTTTTTCTTTCAGTTCTGTAAAGATCGTGCTTTACTGGCTTATCACTTGCATTGTCTCAGTGAAAAGTCTGTTATCTCTGTTCCTCTGTATGTAATGTATCCTCTTTGGAATTGTGTCTTCCCTGGGACTGCTTGAGTTCCTCACATCTATTGTATATGACAATAAAATTGTAATGCAGTATTTAGAATTTGGACTGTCAGGCTTAGATAAGATGTTAGTCACAGGAACTTTTTTTTTTTTTTTAATAGGATACAGTGATTTATGAGAGACTTTCAGATGACTCTCTCTTTGTGAAGGAGACATTAACCCATCTGGAATATTTTGCCAAAGAAGGTAAGTGAAAATTGTTTAGAATGATGTTTCCTTTTGAAATGCTCTTCTTAAATATTGAAATTATAAAATGAATGTATGTCATTGATGCTTGGCTGGCAAGGGGAGCTCATTCATATATGTGACTTTGTAATGCCTTCTGTTTGCTTAAAAGTAAATGGTTCTTCAAATAAACTCTGTTGAGACATTATTTTTCCTTCTTCCTCTCTCCATGTGTTTTAGGCTCATGAGCAAACACTAAAAAGTATTTTTCTACTGTGATGTTCTTCCTTTATTCCAAAAGCATTGTCTACAAAGACATCTATTATCTGCTTCTATTTGTTGTACTAGGAACTTGGCCCATAGTAGAGAAAAAGTTACCTATTTTGTGCATATAACTCAGAAAGCAGACACAGTCAATGTTTTCCTGCCATTCTCTTATTATCCTTCTGATTTTGACTTATCACCCATCTCTTAAGAAATAAAATTTCAGGGGGCGCCTGGGTGGCTCAGTTGGCTGAGTGTCTGACTTTGGTTTAGGTCGCGATCTCACAGCTTGTGAGTTCGAGCTCCTCAGGCTCTGTGCTGACAGCTTCAAGCCCAGAGCCTGCTTCGAGTTCTGTGGCTCCCTCTCTCTCTGCCCCTCCCTGCTGCTCACGCTTCGTCTCTTTCTCGCTCTCTCAAAAATAAACAGACACTTAAAACTTTTTTTAATTAAAAAGAAAATTTCATGAGTGAGTTTTGAATAAGAACAACACTAACTAAAAAGTTTATAGAAGTTTTGAAAAAGCAAGGTATCGTATCATGTAAGAGTAAAGCTAATAATACCTGGAAGCTGTATCCCCCTTTATCATTTTAGTTTATAAGCGTCTCCTTCCCACAGCCGTGTGTTTTGCCTAGAAGTGTTGGTATTTTGCAAGGTTGCACTTTGGGCCTTTTATTGCCATCTTAAAATAGATGTGAGCTGTAGGCAGGTTACAACAGGTAGAAGCATACAGGAACTGTATTGTAATGGAGCTCAAAACAATATAACAAGTTCTTTAGCTTATCTGTAATGAGTTCATTTCTAGGGGATCCCCAACTATTTGAATGCTTTTCAGGGGTTAGCCTAAAATATTAGAGTAAAATATGATTTCTAATTTGTTTCCCAGTAAGTCTTTACAAAATGGGATTCAAATTCATATTCTGTTATTTTAACAATTGTTTGACTTACTTGGAAATTGAAAAAGTAAAGCCTCGTTCATTTTTTCCTTCCTTCAATAAACAGATATTGAGTATTTATTAAGTGTCGTGCGCTGTTGTGAGCTCCCAGGACAGAAGTGAACAAAACATAGACAGCTCATGCCCTGAGGGAATTGGCCAATAATAGATAATGTCAGGGGGGTGATAAGTGCCATGGAGAAAATTTAAGCAGGATAGGGGAACAGAGTGTGATGGTTGCTCTCTCTGCAGGCTGAGTTAGGCAGAAACTGAAGAAAGGGAAGGAGAACCATGTGGCTTTCCAGGGGGAAAGATTCCAGGACAAGGGCAGAGGAAGTGCAAGTTTTGGGAGGTAAGAGGACCAGCAGGAAGAGGACCAGTAAGAAAGCAATGAAGAGGGGAGGAGATAAGATCAATCAGTAAGGTAGCCAGGGACAGATCAGATAGGGCCATGTGAAGGACTTCACATTCCCGTGACCTCTAACACTTTTGGGTTTGTTTTCAAATTCTCTACTTCTCCCTGATCACTGACTGACGGCTTGATCAGGTTGTATTCCATTCTTTCTTGCAGGACTGAGAACTCTCTGTATTGCCTATACAGATTTAACGGAGAAACAATATCAACAGTGGTTGATGGAGTATAAAAAAGCAAGTGCAGTTATACAGGACAGAAGGCAGAGTTTGGAAGAATGTTACGATCATATCGAAAAGGTAACATACCCCATGTGTATGCTACAGGCCAAGTTAAAGTTTTGAAAACATGCACTCATCGATGTTTTCATGTCTTGATGTAATTTTAAAAACTCAGTTAAATTGTGTGTTTTTTTCTTCAGAAGTATACATTTTGTACTGCAAATTCATAAGATATATCTTGTAAAATATTAAAAATATTTCTTTCTTTTCCAAATCATATCCTAATTACTCCAATCTTGTTATCCCTTTTTTTTTTTTTTGAATAACCTTTCCCATTCCAAAAGAAATACATGTTTTTCACAGAAAAATAAGCTGGAATAGTAAATAACCATCATCTGTAATGTTGGGCTAATGACTAAGTTCTAGTGTATAATCTTCCAGTCTCTTTCTTCATATATGCGTGGTGTTCCATTGTAGGTATTTAATACACATATACAAATTTTTTCCTATAAAAATTAAAAGTAAAAATCTACCCTCCCCCGCCCTGCCGCCAAAAAAAAAATCTCCATCGAATTTTCCCCATGAAAATACTGCTTGAATCATGAAAATTTTCACTTTGCAATAAATTGGGGATATTTTTTCCATATTACTGAATATTCTTCTGTTATTTTCTTAGATCAGTCCATGGTATTTCATTACATGGATGAGTATAATTTTATTGTGCTCTTCTCTGGTGGTTACTGTTCCAGGGGATCTCTTGCACCCTGGACTGTTGAGTGTCACTCGAGGGTCATTGTGAATTTGCTTGTTGTGGCCTCAGGGATCTTGTGGCTCCTGGGTCCATTCTTATCTTAGTTTCTTGACTTGGGTTCTTTTGTCATTTGGTTCCATGAACTCTGCATTTTATTCCTGCAGGAGCACAGCCAAAGCAGATTTAGACTCGGGGGTTTTCTTGACATCATTGGGTCTATGTTTTTGTTTTTGTTTTTAAGTTGTGTGTTGAAAGATTAGGAACCTAACCTAGCTTCACACCAACTACGTGAATGTGCTGCAGTAACCCTCACGGGTGATTACTCTGCATCTGTTGACGCAGCACAGCAAGGAGACTAACTGATTTATGTAACCCTCCTCTTCCTTATGTTCCCGGCAAGTCGTCTGTTGCTCCCACACACCGGGAAGAAATCTGGGCAGTTGCAATTGGCCTCTGGCACTTGAGAGACTGTACAAGTATTACTATGCAATTATTTTTCAATCAAACCGATGTATTTTATATTTTAGTTTTAGTTTTAGTCTGGAAGTCATAAGTGGGAAAAGAGTAAGGAATTCATAGGATAAGAAAAAGAACAGGTAAGTTTGCCTTTCCCAGGTTATGTGAGATGGGTGGCAAGGTCAGGGAGTGCGGTGGCCTCAAGCTGACTGGTTTCTTCATGTTATTAGGTGAATCATCAGCTCAATGCTGGTCTCCAGCATGTACACAGTGCCTGGCAAACAGACAGTGTTTATTTTTTAATTTTATTTATTTATTTTGATTATTTTTATTTTTTTATTAAAAAAAATTTTTTTTAATGTCTATTTATTATTGAGAGACTGAGAGACACAGAGCGTGAGCAGGGGAGGGGTAGAGAGAGGGGGAGACATAGAATCCGAGACAGACTCCAGACTCCAAGCTGTCAGCACAGAGACCGACGCGGGGCTTTAATTCACAAACTGTGAGATCATGACCTGAGCCGAAGTCGGTCACTCAACCAAGTGAGCCACCAGGGAGCCCCCATTTTGATTATTTTTAATATAACTTCTTGTCAAATTGGTTTCCATACAACACCCAGTGCACATCCCAACAGGTACCCTCCTCAATGCCCATCACCCACTTTCCCCTCCCCCCCAACCCCCATCAACCCTCAGTTTGTTCTCAGTATTTAAGAGTCTCTTATGGTTTGCCTCTTTCTCTCTCTTTTCCCCCTTCTCCTCCCCCATGGTCTTCTGTTAAGTTTCTCAAGATCCACATATGAGTGAAACATATGGTATCTGTCTTTCTCTGCCTGACTCATTTCACTTAGCATAACACTCTCCAGTCCATCCACATTGCCTACAAAAGGCCATATTTCATTCTTTCTCATTGCCAAGTAGTATTCCATTGTGTACATAAACCACATCTTCTTTATCCATTTGTCAGTTGATAGACATTTAGGCTCTTTCCATAATTTGGCTATTGTTGAAAGCGCT